CGATTCAATCCCTCCATTAAAAATCCATAATGTGTCCTGTTAATTTACTATTATATGATGACATGTCAAAATTTTGGTCACGGACGCCCTTCTTCTCTTCCTCTTTCCTGGCTAAATTTGCTTAATTAATTTCTTCTTTTTTTTTTTTTTCCTTCTTTCCCTTTCCCTCTGCCATTGGAACCCAGCATGCTTGGGTTCGATGGAACCTAGGTGTAGGTTCCATCAAACCCATGCACTAGGTTCTTAAGAACCCAAGCGCTGGGTTCTCAAAGAACCTAGAGAACCAAAGAACCCAGGCACTGGGTTCTTTGGAAATCTGTTTCTTTACCTTTACCTTGAATTTAGATTTTAATGGTGTTAAATTTTGGGGAGATGTGTGTGAGGTTGTTTGGGATCTAGAGATATATCTGTTTAGTTTTTTCCTTTTTGCGCAGAGAGTAGCCATGGCATCTTCGGATGCAGAGCTTGCAGAGCAGCTGAAGGAAGCTGGGAACATGCTCATGTCTCCTCCTCCTTCGGTCCATGAGCTTCTCCCTCTTCTGGATGTAAGCCCTAATCTAGACAGTCGTCTTCTTCGTTTTGTGATACTCCTTGTCTTGCTGTTGTTCTTGATGCTGAACCCAGGTCTCGGGTTCTAAGGAACCCAAGCTCAAAAAAATTTTAAAAAAAATTTGTTGTTTTTTTTTTTTTTTGGGGTTTGATGATGATGATGAATCCAACAAGGGTAAAAATTGTTTGAAATGAATAGATTGGTTGAGATTTTGGAGATTGGTTGAGATGTTAGGGTTTGCAAAAGTTGAAGAAAAGGAAGAGGGAAGAGAGGAACGAAAAAAAATTGTTTTTTGGATGAGATGAGTTGGAATGGCCATGTCATCTGTTTTTGGCCAACTTGTCAATTTTTGTGTGACACAGAATGCTTCTTCTGTCTTTCTCCGTCAATTAATGTGAAAAATATACGGAAAGACCAAATGGGGGTTAAAATGGTAAATAGTAAGGACCAAATCGGAGATTTTTTTAGTTTAGGGACTAAATCAGGGGTCCGTGCAACAGTTCAGAAACTAAAATGGGGTTTTAACCTATACTATAACACCTTTAACCCCTTACCTTACTAGATTTGTAGGTTTTAACCTCTCACTTATTAAAATCGAAGAAAATAGCTCTCACTTTATATTGACTGTTAACTCTATTAGTTGAAAATAGGTTTTTGTCAACTAACAATTAATTAATAATTAGTTAACAGAATTAACGACATATTATAAAATTAATTATGTTAACTCTATTAGTTGAAAGAAGGTTTTGTCAACTAACAGTCAACTAACAATTAGATAATAAAATTAACAGTTATATAATAAAATTAACAGTTAGTTAACAGAACTAACAAAATGTTATAAAGTGATGGTTATTTTCGTCAATTTTAATAGGTAAAGGACTAAAAGTGTCATAGTATAAGATAAGAGGTGAAAACTTATAAATTTAATAAGATGAGAAATTAAAAATATCATAATATAAAGTTAGGGGCTAAAACCTTCAAATTTGATAAGGTGAGGGGCTCAAACTAGGCTTTTGCAGTACAATGAAAGGTAATAATCTCTCATTATTTATCTCACTTCACTTACATACCATTTATCTTGATATCCTTTCATTTAATTTCATATATC